CTCTTAACACAGACCACCATATCTGGTTCACAAGTGGGCAGAGATGGGCTAAATTCTAGTTTCCTCTCATGGGTATTTTTCAGCTGAAGCTGTTCATAACCCTTCTGTTGCTGACAACTTCCCTGAAGTCCTTCACCACCACACAGATGACTTCAGCATTAATGAATCTCTCCCACAGGCACCAAGAGACATGGTATCAAGAGAATATCAAGAGTCAAGCACTGTTCAAATGCACTTCAACTACCTTCTACAGCACTGATGTTCAGACTGTACAGCTCTAGTCCTGTCTTGTGCAGGACTCATTTCTTCTTAGTTGAACAAAGTTTAAGATTTTTGGAAAGAGACGGGTTGCACAGGAATTAAGTATAGGCTGAAGTCAGAATATGTGACTGAACTGAACTCATGAGTATGATTGGTATTCCTGGGCAAGGAGTGAATCCCTGAAGTGCACAGATGGATTGCAGATTGAATCTGATGCATTTGTTTGGTGATAATTTAATGTGGCGCTAAGGGTAGATTGCATTGGCTTTGTGATGAAGCAGCTCTAGCTAGTACTGACTCACAGTGAAATGTCACCTATTTGTCCCTTTTGCGAGTGGATGAATTGTGTCATGCTAGTTCTGGCTAGCCTTGCCATAAGAAAGGATGCCCTGGTCCGTTCCCATTCCTGTGCCCCAGTTATAGTATCATTTTGGTTATGTAAATGAAACAGGTTTAGTGAATGAATTAAGAACTGACTTCCTCTCATTGGTAAAACATTTTGATACCTCCTACTCATGCTAATCTTGCAGATGGATTGGTTTCAGTGGGCAGGATCACCTGAAGCCCCACCTGACCCTTCCCATTCTGGAAAAGACACTTTACAAAATATCCCCAGTGCCTAAACTAATCAAGGAGGTATCTCTGGACCCCTCTGCATTCGCTCTCCAGACCAGTCAGTTCTGCCAGGCACTACCTGGCACTTTGAGCAACTTCTCTTTTGTTTAACCATAGTTTAAAATAACTTATCCACCAATCATAAAATGAATTTTTTGGTTTCTCCTGACTCCATGAACACAAAGAGGTGCACGTCCTACCATAGGAGGAAGCAATGGCTGTTAAGTTTTACAGTTATAGTGGAAAGCACTGATCACAGCCTGCCGGCCTCACTACTGGATGTGACAGGCGGTGGAGGAGGTGGCTTGGCAACACATGCAGGTGGGGTTGACCGATTTAGGGGGGATTAGGTCGAGGTCCTCGTCATCTGGGATCTCATCTAACCGGTACCCATCCTTTAGCAGCTGGATGTTCAAGTCTTGGTTGATCTGCTATAGACAAAGAGACAAACAGTCAAACACTTGAGACTTCTTACTTCTGGTGGTCAGAAGATCAAGGAGGTCCCTTATTCTGGGATATATTTCCCCATCATTAACAGCTGGTCCACTAATGAAACAGTCCCAATTTTTGACCACAGGTGAGGGGAGGGTTGCCTTCTGTACTGGCTTCTTCCAGGATAGGAATATCTAGAGTGAAATATGCTATTTTATTCTGCAAAATTTTTTCCCTTAAGACAAGCCCTCATTTAAAGTAATGTAACAATAATATTTACTGGCAGCTGGACAGTCCCCCATCTCAGTCTGGGGCACACTATAGCAGTTAAAAGATGGTAAAGTTTGGCTCTTTGTGATCTCAGATCCAAGTGCTGGATGAACAACACCTCGTCGGGGCACTGAGACGGCTCAGATCATCTGATTTAGTCCCTGCTCTTAGCTGTTTCCCTGTGCTTCAGGAGTATTTTGCCCAGAAAAGGATACAGGGGGGAAGAGTTCCCAGTGGCTTGTGTGCAGAATGGCTGCTCAGCACCCTGGATGTAAAATCAGGTCCTGCAGAAGCAGTAGCCAGAGGCTGAGCAACTAATTCATTAGAGTGTTTGGGAATATAATCAGAAACAATGTAGGATTAACAAGCCTGGGCTTCCTGCCTTTTCTCTTTGAAAGGGCAAGAGTTCACATCTGCAAGTCCTCCCTGGAATTTCTGCCTACTCCAAGTAAACACACACTGGGTGACCCTGACCACTCCAATAACTGGAAATCACAGCACACCCTCAGATCCTTTATTTGTGTCCTTGGCAACCATACAGTTGCTGAGCTGCTGTGACAGACAAGATGATGGTTTTGCACTGCATGGGCCAACACTTCAGGACTAAGCAAAACTGGGAAAAGTCTGAGTGAAGCCAAAGGTACCTGTGAAAACAGCTGATGGGCAGATCCCCATGCCATGGCAGTGTAGGTATGAAGCCAACTGGATCACAAGGAAGAAAGCAACATGACACAGTTTCTGCCATGGCCCCTTCCAGACTCACAGAGTCTATACCACCAGTAAATTGGTTGTGTAGCCATTTCTGGCAGTGCCAGGCCACTCTAAGCCATTTCTGGCTGCTCTATCATTTGCATTCATGGTAAGCATGCCAGGAGACAGTATAACTCACCTCAGCTGATGAGTATCCCGAGGAGGAATATCTGGACATATCAAAGTCATCATCACTGCAGGGAAGGACAAGATACAGCAAGAATGAAATAGTTAGATTAGACATGTATTCCCTGCTTAGCCGTATCTTTCTCGTGCCATGAAACTGTTCCTGAGGCACAGGGAAGTGACATCAAGGGAGCCTGTAGAGCAACTTTCATCTGTGACCCTCAGATCTTTCCATCACAGTGCTCTTTTACTCGCAGCTCTTTTGCCTTGTTCACACACACACGCCTGTCATGGCATAGGCCAAAGGGAACAGTGGAAGGAAGAGTGTGAGCAAGAGCAGTTTCAGCAGGAGTTGGCTCCAGTGCTGCCCTCTAGCATGAAAAATCAATTACACCAGCATGCATAATCACCTTTTTAACCCTTCACATACCTGTCCGTATCCAGGGCTACCAGTGGCTTCTCATCTGGACTCTGGTCTAGCGAAGAATAGCCCTTATTGGGAACGACGAGCCTGAAAGAATTAAATGTTGTCCATTAACCATACAGTAAAGCTCAGTAGCATACATTAGCTAGGGTGAAGTCCTATGATAGCTGGCTTTTCCCATGTCATCTCCTTACAAGCTCTCCCCTATTGGTGAAGATGTTCATATGGGTGCAATTCAGAGGAAGCAAGCTCTGTCTCTGGGTAGCTTAGAGTAGTTTCACAGGCACAAATGCTGGATGTGCCTTGGGAACATGCTCCTCCGTGGAAGAAAAAAACCCACTGGGACACTGCACTTCATGCTGCTGAACCTGTTTGGCTAGCCCTGCTTGTCATAGCAGATTGCTCCTTTTCGTGTTGTTTTCTTTTTCCTGGCAATGAGTACATGACACTAGCAATAAGTACCTTCCTAAGGCAGAGGCTCAGTGACCCTACTGTTCTATTATTGGAAACCAGGGATGTGATGTGGTCTTTCTGCCTGAGTCCCTATTGGGGCCCCCAGCAACACAACACTTCTGAGGTCTCAGTCCTAAATTTAGGAGTATTAGAAATATGAGCTGGTGGGTCCAGTGTGAGACCAGTCAGACTAGCACTTTTTAAATTTGTAAATTTTGTAATGAATTTCATTTAATCAATAGTGTTACAAAGGCTGAGGATGACTTTGCACCTTTAATTGTCTGAGAGAGTTTGTGAAATGGAATACAGGCTTCAGACCTTCTAGGATAAGGAAAATATGTTAATACAATGGTATCTACTTCACAACAGAGTTCTTTCATCCAAAACACTTCACAAATACTTTGGTTCATATTTAAAATGAGATTAACCAAACCAAGCAAATGAAATAAGATTCTTTGCTCAGTAGATAGGAACCATAAGAATGAAGAAAAGCTCCTCATTCCATGGGTTAACTGAGGTTTTCTCCCAAATGCTCTTTAACAACATACTGTGACACAAAATGATGCTTCACTGAGAGTTTGAGAAATAAAAATCTAAAGATGATAATCCATCTCATCCATGCTCCAACTGCTCTCTAACTTTCTGAAAGTGTTTTTTTGCTTCTGCTCAGAAAATTGCAGAAAGCCATTAACAGTTTTAGGAGTACAAGTCCTGGCAGGCACTGACGATTGGCAGGCTCAAAGAGAGTAAAATATATCAAATGTTATAACAAAGCAAATATATAGGTTCACAATTAGTTATATTTTCCTGCTTTGTTCATTGAAATGTAAATTAAATAAATTAATTTTAAAACTGATGCAGAATTTCCAACCTGCTGCACCAAGGGACTGGAGAAAATGCAATCCACTTGCAAAATTCAACAGCCCTTCTCAGAGCACTAGGGTAGTCCTTCTGCTCCTGAAGTATGTAGCCAGAAAGTCAAGAAGCAAAGATGTCTGGAACCGAAGCTGAGATCTGGCAGCAGTAGCTTGCCCATACAGATATCAGAAGTACTGATTTCCATTTTTGCTCTTCAGTTTTCCAGTCCCTGCTCCATATATATTCACTGACAGTTGCTATTATATCATCAGTGAACAAAACACTCTCAGGGGATCTAGCAGAAGAATCCTTTGTGGTGATATTTACTTGATGACAAAAAAAATCACTACATCTTTTTCTTGAGAAATGTCTTTTTCCTTAATAACACAGAACTTCAATTTTACTGCAGCAGACAAAAACTCTTATAATGTCTCTGCTCCTGATTTAAGTCTTTCCCTCACATTCTGATTGACCTTATTGTCACTTCTCACTGTCCTTGGAATAAAGTCAGGTAGCAGTGGTAGCTGCTTTCATCCACAGCTGTCCCAGTATGAGCTTCTTGTCTTGGTGGTTTTGCTCACTTAACATGAAACATGTTACAACGCAAATCCAAGTTTAGGTTATCCTGAGTGGACTGTAGCATCCAGCTGTGCCCAAGTGGTGTGGATGGTGTTGTGGGCTCTGCCTCTGCTCATAGGAAGTGTGCAGCATCACCTCAACCTTGTTCACATTTTATTTGCACTTAGGGAGACTGAGTGTGTTATAGATCCAGTTACTTTCACCCCTAAGGCTGGCTCTGTCCTTTTCCCAGGGAGAACCAAATGGTGAAGGCAACCTTGTACTAGAGGCTTGATGTCAGAAATCCATAGAAATAATACAGAATAACAGAGGCCTTGGGAAAGGAGGAAGAGGTGGAGAACTGGGAGAGACAGTGTGGTTTGCCTAGATGAAGGAAAACATATTTGATGAGAACAGCAGAACTGTTGAAAAGGGGGCAATGCCATTAGCTTGTTCTCCTGCAGAGACTAGAGGAAGCCAACAGCATACCTGGAAACTTGGAAATTTTGCGTAACCTGCAACTGTTATACTGCAACTGTTACACTGTGAAAAGCTGTTTTACCAATCTTGTGGCATTTCTGCCTTCCTTATGCTGCCCTGTCTGTGGCAAGACAGACTGAACCATTCTGAGGTGCTCAGACAAGTGGAATAAAACTGAGCTGGCTGCTTGAAAGCTTTCGTCAATAGGTGTCACTGCTCTGCTCTTCCCTTCTCAAATCTCTCCTCTTTCCATCGGCAGCTTGGAAACGACAACCTCTTCAAGGAGAAGTCACTAATTTTACAGGTAGGCATCCCATTTTCCCTCCCTTACCATCTTCCTCCACTAATTTCAGTGTTTCTAAAGCTCTCAATTAGCAAATCTGCAACCACTCCTCTTGGGATGCTAGTATGCAGCCTATGGCCAAAAGAAACCAAGCCTTTCCAGCTTTTATTTGGAAGACAAGGAGGAAGAGTGGGCATGGAAAAACCCAGTTGAGAACAGTTGCTGCATTTCTTGCTGCCATGAAGGGTCTGGCTCTACTATATGGTCTCAACGACCAAACACAGAGAGGAAGTAATGCAGGACATGCCATGAATATTGCAGAGGCTTACAAATAAAAGTTGATGAAGTCCTGGCATGATTTATGACTAGTATTTTGGGTTTTGGGAATTAATGTGAATAAGAAACCTCATCTCTCAGTTGCACTGTGTATAGACAACTCTGACCTGCAGCTCCTGTTCTACTTAAAATATGGTAATCCAGGCAATTTCCCCCTTCATCAGTAAACACCCAGCATTCAGCAGATTCTTCTGTCTTTTTAAGTGAGGACCTCCACTAAAAACTGCCACCTTTCTAGTAGCATGTAATCCTGCTAGATTAAAGCAGCATGTGGGCTCAGGGGCTTTCCTCCCTTCTGAATGTAGGTAAGTGGTATATTGGTGTACTGAAGTTTCAGTGGAAAAAAACTGAAATACTCTAAAAGAAAGTATTTATCAAGGAATGTCTTTGTTTACAGCAGTTTGTAGCACTGTCTGATAATATCATACAGAGATGTCCCAAAGCATCTCCAGTAAAGCATGACCATGCTGTTCCAAGGGCGGAGGAGGTCAATAGCAAGGCACAGAGAGACAGATTATTTACAAGCCTTCATTAAATCAGTCAGTGTGGGGAAGGGGTCACCATCAAAAAGGAGCAGTGGAACTACTGTGATAAAAGCAGTCAAGGCAGAACTAAGCTCTAAGCTAGTTTGTGTTACATGAAGCAGCTCTGTACCTCTCCCACTGGCAGGATTAGGTGTTACATGAGACTACCCAGAACCTGCAAGACAGCCCTATCAAACCCCTGATTTCAACTAGGATGGGCTGCCTCAGCCTTCTACAGTCTGCACTGTCCCTGGTCCTGGGCTCAGCTGTCCCTGCATCTTCCCAGGGCAGGCAATGCAACACAGCACAGGGAACTTGGGCCTGCCAGCTCCGGGAAGGGCCATCACTGCTCTTGCAGCATGTCTGTCAGTAGGCAACTGGCTATGAACATTGTCCTTGGCCACCCTAATCCCCCAGGTATTGCAGCTATGAGTACTTTTCCAGTCCTTTACCTTGTTCGTGCCATCACGTTGTTCTTCTTGGGCTGCTGATTCACTGGGCTTCCCATGTTGCCATTCTTCAGGGAGCCCTTCCGAGCCAGCTCCCTCTGCTTCTCTGCATATGAGACACAAAGGACAAAAGCAAAATCAGGGCAACAGCCTAGCTGGCTACCATAGAGCTACAAAAATCCAGTTTTCATAGTGGCAAAAAGCATAGCAGAATTAATAGCAAAGGATGTGAGGTCTACATCTCTTTTGGACGGACACTGCAAAGGCCAGATGAGCTGTGTTCCACTTTCTTAGAGGTCACCAGGGACTAAAACTAATATACATTCATTCACATCAGCTTCTGACATCAACACACTAAAATCTTCGTCTCTAAGGTCTTGGAGCTTCTGGATGAGACCCAGTGGAGGCAGACAAAGGACAGAGACCTGGTCCCTGTCTGCAGCTGGTTGCTGCATGATACTGTGCAGTACTAATATGGCCCTGCCTCCAGCAGGGATAGGAGCCCAGGCATGATGGGTTTTCATACAAACTAATATTAAATTTTCTGATTCAAAGTCTTGCCTTGTTTCCTGTGGAAAATCAATTGGGTTGAGTCACCAATTAGTTGCAAAAATTGGGCCAACTGCCCCAATCTCATCCTGCAATGCCAGACAAGGCTTGTAGGCAAAAGCTGAGCATGGGGCCAGTATAGCAGGAAAGGGACTGGTTAAAAACATTCTCCAGAGTGTGACAAAATGTTGGAAACTACTTTTGTGGCATGCCTGAAGAATATGGATATACCAGACTGCTTGCTGAGGAACCTGAACAGTGAATTTGTTTTGCTTCTGCTTCCCCTACAGGCTGTGAATTGTGCTGATTTTTTCGATTTTTTTTTTCAGATTTTATTTCCCCTTGGAGAGAAAAGCAGCTTTTCCTGCTTGTTGTGGAAAAGCAACGTGCTACTGTGTAAGCAAATTCAAGGTGAGCCACTCTGTTCCTTCCTCACAGGTCAGAGCAGGGGGACATATGCCCAAGGCTGCCTTTTTTGAGGGAGAAGCAAGCAGCAGAGATACCTAGAGATTGTGATGATGAGAAACATGGAGAGAAGAGTACAAACCATGCCCAATCCTGCTCCTGGTGACAGTGGAGGCCAATAAATGCTCATGGAACTTGGCAGGAAAGGGATTGGATTAATAACTCCCTCTGGCATGAACAGCTAAAAGACTGATAAAGGATTGAAGTCAAAACCTTAAATCAGAGTAACTTCTCAGTACTGGAACTTGCAAATGCATTGATTATCTCTGTCTCAATAATAAATGCATAGTACTTTGCAGGCTGCTTGAATTTTGCTGTCCAGAGAGGGATAAAGTGGGGCTCTATGGAGGCAAACATTTACAACACTAAATACAACCCAATTTCTACCCATCTACATCAGAAGCTTCAGCGCTGAGACAAGCACTGAGACAAGCTGCCAATGCTTTAGGAGGCTGTATAACTCACAAAAGACACCTGACTCAGAAACAAGGGTACAGGTTTCATTTTCTTTCATGGAAGCTAAGGCCTGCCTGAGCCTTTTAAATGAACCAGCACTCTCTCCTTTTTATTGATCCCTCAGCACAAGCACTAATGCTGTTCTCCAACTCAGATTACTCATTCAGCTGATGAACCTGGACTTTTACTAACCATGTTTTCCTCCAGTAGGTCTCTCCGTGACTATTTCTACTCTATTACTGATTCCTATTGCAACATATGGGTCAGAATGACATGAGCTTTTCTATTTAATCCTTTCAATTATTTAGTGGCTTGCAGTGAACAATCCCAGAGCAATGTGAATGCAGTAGGAAAATCTATGCTTGTATCCACAGCCAAATTTCTTAAATGTGAAACAACAGTTCATCTGTCTGTTGAATGCTATGAAGTGTGAGTCCCTGGTGGCCAAAATGCGATTTTGGCTTCCAGGGGCAGTGGGAGGCCTTCTCAGGCCTAGTGTGTTAGAACAAGCTCCTGGAAGGTGGTGAAGATGTGCATGAGTCACATCAGGTTTTAAGGCATGGAAACCTAGTATTTGAGCCTTACAAGTGTTGTGAACTACTGATACTTCCATCATCACCCAAGGGAGCTTTTGGATGCCAATCTCTTCCAATAATTCTGAGCTATAAATTCCAGCCTTGCAGATGGCTTTCAGCTCATCTGGTTTTCCCAGATGTTTGTTTGAAGGCCAATCCCAAACTCGAAGTACCTGGGTCCTTTTAAGAAATGCGACTGATTTAGGCACTTCTAAGGATATTACTTTCAGAGTCCAATATTTTAACAAACCCCTGTAATTTCACAAATTGAAGTAGTTCTCACAAAATCTGCAATCAGACACAGAACCAGCAAAGACAAGGTGAGAGGAGGAAAGGCTGAGGGAGCTGGGCCTGTTCAGCCTGGAGCAGAGATGACTATAAGTATCTGAACGGAAGGCGTCAAGAGGATCGAGCCAGGCTCTGCTCAGTGGTGCTGAGCAACAGAACATGAGGCAACGGGCAGAAACTGATGCGCAGGAAGTTCCACCTGAGTATGAGGAAGAACTTCTTTACTGTGTGGGTGACCGAGCACTGGACCCGATTGTTCAGAGAAGGTGTGGAGTCTCTCTCACCGCAGACATTCCAGAATCATCTGGATGCAATCCTGTGTCATGTGCTCTGGGATGACCCTGCCTGTGCAGGGAGATTGGACCAGATGACCCACCGTAGTCCCTTACAGCCTTACGCATTCTGTGATTCTGTGATTCTGCTAACAGGCAGTCCTGCCAAACACAGAGAAAATGGGACATACAAGAAGAAATGAAAAAACAGAAGACTCTGGTTTCCAGTCACTGGTTATTTCATGTTTGGTGAGTTTGCTGTTGGATGAAAAGCTAATACAGGAGAGACAGAAGGTGAAGGACAGAGATTCAGAGATGGAAAAGTCAGAATGAAATAAAGCTGCTCTCCAGCTACTTCAGAGAAATCGCTAATTACTGGCAGTGTAACAGCAGAGCCCCAGTGATGCTCTTTACATGGCATTTGCAAGTATTTAAAATGAATTGCTTAGCTTTCATTTCACTTGGCTGTTCTACTTTTTACCATTGTACCTAGTGAAATACTCAAACTCACATACAGTTGGTCATCCCCCCTCCCATGAAACAGCTACAGGTGACCAAGAACACTGAGAGTACAGGTGTGTTGGCTTGCAGAGACAACAGCAACCACCAGCAATACCAGCAGGGCTGCAAGAGCTGGGGAAGTGCAGCTTTAACCAAATCCAGCTTCCTTCTGGCTTTTCACTAATTTTCCAGAGACACTTTGCTGAAGAAGCAGGATAGAGCAGATGAGGTTGGGAGGGCATGAAGCAGCCTGCATATGCCTTTGACATTAAGAAATATGTTCAATTAGGGGTCTGAAGATCCTGTCTGATCATTAGTGAGGTTACTGTGTTGGGTGATGTATTGGGTTTGTGTGCAAGTTTTTGTTAGTGGGGAATTGCAGAGGTGGGCTCTGTGAGAAGCTGCTGGAAGCTTCCATATGTCTGACAGAGCCAATTCCAGCCAGCTCCAAGATGGACCTGCCATGGGGAGCCCATCAGCAATGGTGGTAGAGCCTCTATAATAACATAGGAAGAGGAGGAAAAAAACTGCAGACAGAGGAGTGAGGATGTGTGAGAGAAACAGTCCTGCAGACACCCAGTTCAGTGAAAAAGGAGGGGCAGAAGGTGCTCCAGGCTCTGGAGCAGAGATGCCCCTGCAGCCCATGGTGAAGACCATGGTGAGGTTCCCCTGCAGCTCACAGAGGTCCATGAGGCAGCAGAGATCCACCTGCAGCCTATGGAGGATCCCACACCAGAGCAGGTGCATGCCTGAAGGAGGCTGTGACCCCGTGGGAAGCCCATGTTGTCATTGTATTTTCCCTCCTCTGTCCAGCTGAGTGATAGAGCGGTTTTGGCAGGCACCTGCTGTCCAGCTGGGGTCAGCCCACCACAGGTAATCTACCTGTCTCCATGCTTGAGTGGATGTTATTGTTTACCTTGGCTGAACACCCTGTATCCACCGAGACTCCGCCCAACCCCCTCCAGAGGGAAAAGGAGGAGGGAAGGGGGGAAAGAAAAAAAACTTGCAAAACTAAGACCGCTGAGAAAGGCAGTTTTA